CGGCGAAAACCTACCACGAAATAAGCAAGAGCACACGATTCAGGTTCAGAGTGCGTGATCTTCTCAGAATACACTTTCGAGTTGTAAGGTCGCAGCGGACGCGGATCCGAGGAGCTGACGCCACAGCGGGTCGTCGGTAGAGGCGGCTTGAAGGTGGTGACAGTTTACTTGAATTATCGCTTTGGAATTTGTGCAGGGGAGGGGAACTACCGCAGCTAATTTCAGGACAGCCAGGGGAGCGCCACGGTCGGGGACATGTGGCTGACCTATACCGAGGAGCAGAAGCGCGAGATCATGTTACGGTCCGTCAGTGATATTAGCCAACGCGGGTGGTGTGCCCGAAAAAGAGCATCCCGAGAATTCTTTCTCTCCATGCTGAGAGCAAGGAAGAGGGGGAGCGCACACTCTGTGTTTGTTTATGTTTGTTTTTCAACTGCGCGAAATGAAATGTTGGAAGACGGAGCGGGTTCGTTGGGCGTGGTGCGAGCGGGTGTTCGTACAATAACGCTGCCTTGACCAGACTCTGGTTCTTTCTCTGGCGTAGCCAGCGTGAATCTGGATCACTAAGGGGCTGTGGATACCCAAAACATCCACAAAATTGCAGTTTAACTACGCGTGAGCGTCCACCCTGCCCCCTCTCCGCGGGGCAATGTACGCGGGGGAGATGACAGCGTGTGCCGCCACGTCGTGACGATGTGGCGACGCGCACTCCTTGCGCTACTTCGCTGTTAATTCTAAAACATGATAGTTCCTCCCGAGATGTCCATCACCAGCTGTAAGTGGTAGATATAAATAGCTTGCAATTTGAACGCTGAAGGAGATGCTTCTGCATGGCTCAATAGCTAACGCCTCGCACTGGCAATGCAGAGGTCCGACGTTCAATTCCGCCCGCCGTAGTCTATCTCTGGATAATTTTTCTTTCTTGCGTTTTCATATATGTAGACGCGTATACATAAGCAGTGAATGACGTTAACGCTGGCGGTAAAATTCAGGCGAGAGTGTCCGTGTATGTGCTATCGCAATAATAGACCGAAAACCTTTGACGAGACGGTGTCAATGAAACCAACGCTTGTACGTCTCGTCTTATCTTTTCTTCAAGGCACTTGCTACCTTGAAGAAGACTATACCAGATAAGGAAGCATTGGCTCCATCGAAACCTTCCACTCAGTTGCATATCTGGTTTCGTAAGTGGCGCTTCATAAAAATTCCTACATTGTGAAGCCTTGATGGCCATTCGCTTTACAGTATGGGAATTACAGTGGTTTTGTTTGATTGATGTGTGGGGTTTAACGTCCCAAAAGCACCGTATGATTATGAGAGACGCTGCAGTGAAGGTCTCTGGAAATTTCGACTACCCAGAGTTCTTTAACGTGCACCCAAATCTGAACGCAAGGGCCTACAGCATTTTGGCCTCCATCGAAAATGCAGCCGCCGCTGCCGGAATTTCATGCCACGACCTGCGGGTCAGCAGCCGAGTACCTTAGCCGCTAGACCACCGCGACGGGGAGCGCTTTCGTTTAGGGGGAGTGCCAAGCCACGGAACTGCATACAAACTGCTTCAGTCTAAGTGACTGCTACCTAAATGCTCGCCCGCGTTCATTTCGTTGCGTCAGGCCGGCGTTGTGACACGGAAGTCATGACACGGAAGTCATTTATGGCATCATTTTTCTCTTCCTCGTAACGGTGTGCTGATTTTAAAGCGACATGTCAACATTTCTCATTCATGCTTTGCATATCATCGATTCTCAGTGTGCGTAGGATCTGCCTTTTTTTTCTTGCCTTGCATATGGAGACTCTTCAGATTTCTCATAATCGACAAAATACAAAATTACCACAAAATACATTGAAGAACCGTCAGCTCTTAGATGGTGATTGATCACCACTTTGGCATTCGTACCAATCAATGGTTCGATGCGCGCTGTCCACTCTAGTACATGGCAAACTTGTCGACGGTGCCTGTTAGTCAGAACAAAGTAAATCCAGAACTTTCTGGAACAAAAATGTTTATTGCTGCTGATATAGCACGAACATAAAATAAAAGTGGATTCGTAACTGTTCGGCTCTCAGAGAAAGGTTTGCGCTCAGATTTCTTTCGAGATGCCAGTATGCATGCTTGCTAGAAACAAAATGAAAAAAAAAACAACCATTACGTATGGAACCTCTCCGCAAGAGCGCTCCATATATTTACCGATCCGCCCCCTCTTGAGATGTCTCGTCATTTTTGCGAACACACTACTCTGCAACATCTTTACAATAAAACCATATGGCACTGAAGAAAGAACAAAGACACAAATATTGCAACACGTGATTTCCAGTTGGCCGTATACCCGTTGACTCAAGTGTCTACGTTTGCAAAATTGTGCTAGATCGATTTGTTCTCGAGTGTTATCATACAAAAAAAAACAGCGATTGAACTGCGTTTTTATTTTTGCACTGGATGGCAAGGGACCTAGCAGAGAAGAAATGAACCTTCGATAGCATGTAAAAGTTGAAATACGCGCACAATTAACGCTACACGAACTCGATACCCTATATATACAATGATTAAATTTACCAAATATTTTTACATTATGTAGCCACTGCTCCCTTAGATCGATCATCTTACTTCACAAATCATTTTGAGTACAAACGCTGAGGGTTTCCTTTCAAAAGGGGGGGGGGGTGTATGGTTTATCCACAGTGCCTAGAAAATTTAGGCACTATGCTACGGGAAATTTTCACGTACCTACTATTAGAAAACTAGGGGAGCGAGTCACCCAAACCACTCTGTCCCTCTCGTCTACACGCGTATGCTGGCAGATGTATCCTATACTCCCTTTCATACATCCGGTGCAACGCTGGGGAAGCTACGTAAGACGTTTCGTCAGAAATATGTATGACCTCAGGCGTCCCGCGCATGGGTTTCATCCAAGGAGGATTTTAAAAATTGCTGGAGTGGAAATGATTGCGCAGAAGTGAAGCCGCCCTCTATCAAAATGGCAGCTGTGGCGGCCATCTTACTAGGGGCATGATAAATTATCACCGTTCTGCGATTACAAACTAAGCAAGTTTGCAATCGTGCACGCACGATTACAAAATTCCCCTCACACGCCTAACGAGTTAAGTGTGGGAACTTTTTCGGGTCACAAAGTGCTCAAAGGGCGTCTTACAGTTACTAGTTTTCCGTAGTGAGCCCCTAATTGGAGGCAAAGTTTTTTGAAGATTCAGTCATCCATGCTACTTTCTGTGTGTTATCTCGTCGGGAACAACTATCTTTTAATACAGAGCTAACGTAGCATTTATATAACTTATAAAAGCCACTTGATCTTTAAGTGGGCCCTATCAGAAAAGAGCATGTTTCCGCCATCTTGGCAGTGGCTAAAGGTGACTTCACTTCTGCTGCCAAGGCATTGCGGGAGCTTCGACTCAAGCCATTTTTCTTTAATCTTCCTTGGTTTCATCGTTGTAAATGCTGTGCGAGACGACCACGAACGCTCCTGCACAGCGTAGCGAAAGGCTACGAATAAAACATCAAAAAATGAGAATAAAGAAAAGCCGTATAACGGGAAGCTATAGGGGCGAAGCTTTTTAAAGCGGCCCCACAGAACACCTACCAGTTCAGGTGGCACCCGTTCATCCCTCGTAGTAGTGAGCAACATGTCTTAGGCTTTGACCTCCAAGGTGGTGCCGGTGGGAGATTTCTCTCTGATAAGATTAGTTTGCCGTTCCGGCGCCCGGGGGCGTCGATGTTGCAAGTAAATAAATACGGCGCACATGACCAGCCAGTCAGTGTGGAACCCGCCAACGTACGTGTGTGTGATTCGGTCCAGCGACCGGCATGGCTCAGGACTATCCGGTTATCACAAGTGGTGACGAGCTCGACTGACAAACCGAGCGGCACAGCACAATCACACGTCGTCATGCCTGTCCTCGGGAAGCTGGATCCATTCGAACCGAGTACATCGGAGTGGGCGGAATACCGTGAGCGGGCCGAGCTGTACTTCATCGCGAACGACATCCCGAGCGACAAGCAGACAGCCGTATTTTTGACATGCTGCGGTCCAGAGACTTATTCTCTGCTACGAGGCCTCCTAGCACCAAGCAGGCCCGCCCAAGCAGGACTGACCGAAAATTTTACCACACTTCGCAAGCACTACGCCCCTCGCGTATCAGAAGTAGTGGCAAGTTTCAAGTTTTTCTCAAGACATCGAAAAGAGGGGGAGACCGTAAGTGACTACATTGCCTCGTTGAAGAAATTAGCCGAAGGCTGTAATTTCGCAACATTTCGAGAGCGCATGTTGTGCGACCAGATAGTCAGCGGAATCAATGACATAACCATGCAAACACGGCTGCTGGAAACGACGTGTTTAACCTTCGAAACTGCAAAGAACACCGTCGTAGCTATGGAGGCTGCGCGTAAAGGTTCACGCACATTGAGCTGTGAGCAAGCACAGCTACTATCTCACGAAGCTCCGGAGCAAGCGAACGTTGTCACCTCGGGGAAAAATGATAGCTGTTGCTTCCGTTGCGGGGGAGGTCATTCTGCGCGTCGGTGTAAGCACGGCAGCACGATCTGTCACAACTGCCGCCAAAAAGGGCACCTTGCAAGAGTTTGCAGAGTTCAGCCGGGAAGTAGAAATTTCGACCGGAGCCAGTATAGTCGCGTGAACAACCTGGGCGACCTGCCCGTCTCTGCTGAAGAGCCCGAAGTTTTCGACTTGTGCACGCTTCACACGGCTAGTTCGGAGCCAATGCGCATAGCGGTTGAAGTTAATGGCATAATGCTCGATATGGAGCTAGACACCGGCGCTAGTGTGTCGACCATTGATGATGGCAAGTTTGCCGAGCTTTTTCCGTCGGTGCCGTTGGAGCCATCGAGTGTGCAGCTGAGAAGTTTTTTCGGCGACATGAAACGCGTCCAGGGAAAGCTGGAAGCAATGGTCAATCTTGGCGACAAGGAGCGCCAGCTACCACTATTTTTCGTGAAAGGGGCGTGTCCTACGCTGTTTGGACGAAGCTGAATGAAGGCCTTCAAGCTAGGCATCGCTCAGACGGAGGGAGTCAACGTCGTGAAGTCTACGGAAGACCAGGTAAGCCAATATCACGAAGTTTTTTCGGAGCAGCTTGGCACGTTTCACGGCGTTACAGCGTCTATATCCGTACAAAAGGGGGCGAAGCCACGTTTTGTCAAGGCACGTCCGATACCATTTGCTTTGCGCGATAGGGTTTTTGAAGAACTACAGAGGATAGAACGGGAAGGCGTTATCAAACCGCTGAAAACTTCCCAGTGGGCCGCGCCCATCGTTCCTGTATTGAAGCGCGACGGCCGGGTTCGGGTCTGCGGCGATTTTAAGACTACCATAAACGCGGTGACAGTCGTCGAGTCCTACCCTATTCCTAGGATTGAGGAACTTTTTGCGCGACTTACAGGGGGCAAGAAGTTCACAAAGCTTGACTTGCAAGATGCCTACCAGCAGGTTCCACTCGATGAGGAGTGCCAAGAGCTAGTCACCATTAACACTCCGAAGGGGTTACACCAATTCACAAGGCTGCCAGTTCAGGGTTTCATCAGCTCCGGCTATATTTCAGCGAGAGATGGAAAATCTGTTGCACGACTTTGACCATGTCGTAGTGTACTTTGATGATATTCTGGTCACAGGAACCAGTGACAAAGAGCATTGGGAAAATTTGGTCCGAGTGTTGGATCGCCTGAAGACCGCGGGACTGCGACTGAAGTTATCCAAATGCGAATTCATGAAACCAGAAGTCCAGTACTTGGGCCACATCATTAGTGCGGCTGGGCTGCGTCCAAACCCGGCTAAGACTGAAGCAGAGCTGGAAGCCCCGCACCCCGAGCGGTCAAGGAACTTCAGAGTTACCTCGGGTTGGTTAATTTTTACAGAAGGTTTTTGCCGAACTTTTCTGCCGTATTACAGCCGCTCAATAGTTTGTTGGCGTCGGGAACACCATGGCGCTGGGAAACTGATGAAAAGCAGGCGTTTCGGAGAAGCAAGGAGCTATTGGCCTCTGCTGATATATTGGCACACTTTTACCCAGAAAAGCCAACTGTGCTTGTCACTGATGCATCTCCCTTCGGGATTGGAGCAGTACTGGCTCAACGAGAGTCATCTGGAGAAGAGCGCCCCATTGGTTTTGCCTCCCGCAGCCTGGCAACCGCGGAGAAAAACTACAGCCAATTAGATAAGGAGGCATTGAGCCTTCTATTTGGCGTTACAAAGTTCAGGCAGTACTTATGGGGCCGGCAATTCGAAGCCGTCACAGATCACAAACCGCTGCTCGGCTTGCTCGCAGCAGACAAGCCAGTTCCCGAATCCTGTTCTCCGAGAGTGCTAAGGTGGGCCTTGCTGTTGTCGGGGTACACTTACGACCTGAAGTATAGGCCGGGTTCACAAATTGCACATGCTGATGGGTTAAGTCGGCTACCTCTGCCAACTGCCGAATTTGTTGTTGACTGCCCTGCCGAAGTGTTTATGCTGGAAGGAGTATACCCAGGGGTGCTGTCGTCAAATGCTGTTGCAGCAGCCACCTCCAGAGACCCGGTGCTGTCACAAGTAAGAGCAGCGTTGTGGTCAGGCTGCCAGATAAACCTAGGGTCAGAGGGAAGACCCTACGATACGCGCTTTCATGAGATGAGCGTGCAAGGGAACTGTCTATTGTGGGGCAACAGAGTCATTGTGCCAAAATCCTTGCAAAAGGAAGTTCTCCAGCTGCTGCATGAGAGTCATCCAGGACTGTCCAAAATGAAGGCAGTTGCGCGTAGCCATGTGTGGTGGCCTAGCCTGGATAACGATATAGCGATAACCATTCAAAGGTGCCGTATTTGCCAGGAGCATCAAAGAGTGTCACGACCAGTGCCTGTCATGCCCTGGCCGTTCCCGGAGAAACCGTGGTCACGGCTGTATGTGGACTATGCCGGTCCTTACAGGAACACCTATTTTTTTATCGCAGTCAATGCGTTTTCGAAGTGGATTGAAGTGTTCCCGGTCTCTACACCCTCGGCTGAAGCAACTATTTCCTGCATGCACAGTATGTTCGCAAACCAAGGCCTTCCAGATGTGGTCGTGTCGGATAATGGGCCAGCATTTACCAGTGAGCTTTACTCCACATTCCTCAAGAAAAACGGGGTGAGGCGAATGCTGGTGCCTCCGTATCATTCAGCGTCAAACGGTGCTGCAGAGCGGGCCGTGCAGACTGTCAAAAACAAGTTGCGGAAGGCTGGACCTCGAGATATTCGCACTCAAATTGCCCGCATGCCCCTGACATACAAGTCAACGCCTCTCGAAGTCACGGGTTGCTGTCCGTCGGAGCTGTTGTTGGGGCGAAAGCTGAGGACTGCGTTGGACCTGCTACACCCAGACCTCGGGACCAAGGTGCTACAGGAGCAACTTAAGCAGAAAATCAGATGCGACCAAGGAACAAGACCCACGGTTTTGGGCCACCCGGGTGACCAGGTGTTCGCAAGGAACTTCCGTCCAGGACCTGCGTGGCTCCCTGCAGTCGTCACCGAACAACGCACTTCGTCCATGAATGTTCTACTGGAAGACGGACGACGGTTAACTCGACATCTGGATCACATCCGCCAGGCCCCTGAGGAACTGAGTGCAGACAACCAAAAATCAGGCAGCCCAGTATCTACCGGTCTTGCTCCAAGCTTGGACGTGGGTCAGACGCAGCTAACTGGTCTTGCTCCAGGCTTGGATGTAGGTCAGAGGCAGCTATCTCCGGATCGTCTTCACGATACAGAGTCTAGGCAAGATCCCAGGGAAGACGTGGCGAGGGAACCGGAACTTGCTGTCAGAGCACCCAGTACTCCTGTCCTGCGTCGAAGTACCAGAATTCGACGACCAGTGTCACGCTACGCACCTTAAACAATTGTTTGCAACCATTATTAAAGAGGGCAGGGATCTGATAAGATTAGTTTGCCGTTCCGGCGCCCGGGGGCGTCGATGTTGCAAGGAAATAAATACGGCGCACATGACCAGCCAGTCAGTGTGGAACCCGCCAACGTACGTGTGTGTGATTCGGTCCAGCGACCGGCATGGCTCAGGACTATCCGTTTATCACATTCTCCTGTGCGTTGTTGAATAATAAAAAATTTGCAGCGTGCGCTTTACCTAAAAGCCGAATTCTCCTGTCCGTCATTCCCCACTAGCAGCCATTGGCATGTACATTGAGCAATATCTGACAAGAAAGGGTTGCTACGTTATACTCGCTGGACATAACCTCCTTGGTTTTAGAAAGGTTTAGCGAGCGTTGGGCCGCAGTGCAATAAATGCAGTGAACTAGTATATACCATGAACTAGAGGTGATTAAAGGTGGGAAGTGGACACGAAGCGCAGAGAGAGGAAGCAACAAAAAGGGAGAAGGCAGGGAGGTTAACCAGAAAGACATCCGGTTGGCTACCCTACACTGGGGGATTAAGGAAGGGGACAAGAAAGACGAGAAAAATTGAAGAGAGGGAAAAAGGGGGTGGGGGAGAGACTGACAGTAATTTCACTGCAGTGTGTAGAACTGTACCGCATGTCAGAGGCGTTCACACAAGCCTGTCTTTCTCAGGAAACACAGCAGGGCTTTCACTGCCTTGTGGGCTGTCGAGGCATGTGTACGTTGCTGTAATAGCACCTGAACAGAAAGAGGCCGATCATCCAGTCGCCGCATTGCTTTGGCAAGTACTTGTCTACCTGAGGCAAATCGAGGGCAACGACACAGCAGGTGCTCGATATTTTCATCGGTGCCGCAAACATCACACGCCGCACTGTAAGTATTTCCGATTAACGTGGTATAAGCTTTCGTGAAAGCAACTGCCAGCCAAAGGCGATAGAGAAGCGAAGCTGCACGTTGATGTAGGCCGGGTGGAGGCCGGGTGAAGGCCGGAGTTGTAGTGAAGGGCCGAGCTCGTGCAGTCGTGTACGTCGTATGCTTGGTGTGTTCCACTCAGTCAGTGTGAGACTGCGGGCCAGTTGACGAATCTGCCTCGCCGCATCCGCTCTTGAAAGCGGCATCGGAACTCTGTTCACTTCTTTATGTGACGTGCGAGCAGCATGATCTGCAGAATCATTGCCGCCTATAACACTATGCCCAGGTAACCACCGAAAGACGATGTTATGGCCTTTCTGTATTAAAAGCTGGTGAAGTTTGACGGTTTGGTAGGTCAACTGGTCGTGGCATCCGCGTCGGAGAACTGATATCAGGCACTGTAACGCTGGTTTTGAGTCAGGAGGAGGAGGAGGAGGAGGAAGGGAAAAAATGAAAGGCAGGGAGGTCAACCAGGCGCACGTCTGGTTTGCTACCCTGCACTGGGGGAAGGAGTGAGGGGATTAAAGGAGAAGAGAGAGAGGGAAGTGAAGGGCAACGTGTGTGTAGATGTGACCTTGTTCATTGCACGCTTATAAGTGGTCGCGTAGTCCGGTCGTCTTTAGAAAACTTAGCAATGCCCGCGTCGCTTTGCTGGCCAGCGACGCGTAGAGCCATGAGCCAAGTATCTTCTCTTCAGAAAAAGGTCTACTGTCTAGTGTCTCTAACGTTTCCCGTAGCAAGTTGCGTTCGCTCGCAAAACGTTCATGAACACAGTAGATGTTCTATTCTCTCATCAGTGTCGCACGATTCACATCGGGAGCTATCCGCCATTCCTATGCGAAAGGAGTACACCTTTGTAAAAGCTACTCCTAACCACAGGCGGTACAGTTAAGTTGCATCCTGGCGGGGGAGGTCCGATAGAACTTTAAGCTTTCTCGATGGGTCCAATTTGTGTAGGCGGCGGTTTCTGACACTGGGGTCACTCAGCCAAGTTTCCGACATGGTGTTAGCGAACGAGTGAAGGCCCCTTGCAGCGTCGGTTCTCGACAATGGAATTGGGGTTGTCTGGGCGTCCGCGTAGGTGGATCGGGTAGCATCATCAACAAGGTCATTACCGACAATACCACAATGTCCCGGTAACCACTGGAACACCAAGTCATGTCCTTTCGATAAAACTTCGTGAATCACTTCTCTTATTTCATTCACTAGTTGTTGATGCTCCCTCTGTCGTAAAGCTGATTGCAAGCTCTGAAGGGATGCCTTGGAGTCGCAGAACACAGCCCATTTTTGAGGTCGGGCTTCCGCGATATAAAGTATGGCAGCACGTAAGGCGGCAAGCTCCGCTGCTGTGGATGTAGTCCTATGCGACAATTTGAGCTTTATAGTGACCTGGTACGCCGGGATGACAACAGCACCTGTGGAGCTGTCAGCCGAGACCGATCCATCGGTGTAAATGTGGGTCCTCTGGCCGTATTTTTCGTTGAGTAGCGACAATGTCACCTGTCGTAGGACCACTGTTGAATGATGGCTCTTGTTCGTTATTCCCGGAATAGTGAGGCACACCTGTGGTTGTTGTAGGCACCACGGGGGTGAGGCTGGTCTTGTTGCTGGAGTGAAGCCAAAAGGAAGGCATTTTCTATGGGCAGAAATAATCTTTGAAAACATCGCGTGTGGTCTTTGAAGTGGAAACACTGCAACATGGTGACCAGGAACTCGACAGAGGTGTCTTATGTGGGCTCTCAAATTGTCAGTGGTGATGTATGTTCGAATCGGATGCTCTCTTGCGACCATAATTGCCCCGTAGGTTGAGGTGCATCGCGGCAATCCTAAGCACACGCGTACTGCTTGTCCTTGCAGACTTTCGAGAGTGCGGATGTTCGTCTTGCACGTACTTGGCAGTAACGGCAAGCTGTAGCGCAAAAATCCCAGAAACAGTGCCCTGTATAGCTGCATCATTGACCTTATCGATGCGCCCCAAGATTTTCCGCAGAGGAACCGCATTATATGGACGATGGAAGTTAGCCTTCTATTCAGGTAACTGCAGTGGGCACTCCACGAAAGGTCCCTGTCAATAATCACACCCAGGAAGCGATGGTTCTTCTGGTGTGGAATATTTTGTCCATTGATGGTAACGGGGTTGTGTGTCATGGCTCTGCGAGTAAACGCAACCAATGCACATTTCTCCGTTGAGACGGAAAGACCTTGCTTGCGGAGATATGAGCATGTCAGGGTGGCAGCCTGTTGGACTCTTGCACGTACTTGTAGACGAGTTACAGCCGAAGTCCATAGACAAATATCGTCAGCACATATGGATATGAGGATGGTACTTGGCAAAATTTCACGAAGTCCTACCATCACGAGGTTAAATAAAGTGGGACTTAATACGGCACCCTGAGGGACGCCACGGGAGGTATAGTAATTGGTGGTAGGTCCATCTGAGGTTTGTACAAAAAAGGACCTTCTCGTCAAATAATCCTGGATCCATTGGAACATCCGACCACCGATTCCAACAGCTTCCAACGTGTCTAAGATGGCTTTATGTGTTACGTTATCATAAGCCCCTTTTACGTCGAGGAAGAGTGCCAGTGGTATGCGATTGAGGCTCTTCTGTTGCTGGATAAATGTTGTGAGATCAATAACGTTGTCAAGAGATGGCCTACTTCGCCGAAAACCCGTCATGCAGTTTGGGTATACGTTGTAGCGCCCGAGGTACCATTCTAGGCGTATAAGTATCATCCTTTCCATGACTTTTCCTACTCAACTTGCGAGGGCAACAGGGCAAACTGACGTCAAATCAAATGGTGATTTTCCTGCTTTGAGTAGTGGCACTAGTCGACTTATCTTCCAATCCTGGGGAACATTGCCCGCCAGCCATGAGTGGTTGTAATAGCTTAACAACTGTCCCCTTGTCTCCTGTTGAAGGTTGGCTAGAGCGGCGTAGGTGATGCCATTGGGTCCTGGTGAAGATGATCGTCGGGAAGCCGCCAAAGATGCGTCAAGTTCTTCTATAGTGAAAAGATTGTCCATTTCGTAGATGCGGGGTCCAGGGATAACACTCCTAATGGTGCCAGCGGACAAGGCGGACACACCAGCGATTCGCTTACAAAACTCATTTGCCACTTCAAGTTGGGTGTGGCCTGAATGTAGGGCTAAAGCCATGAAAGGATGTCTTTGTTGGGGAGTCGAACGCAGGCCACGAGTAGTGCTCCAGATGCGTGACAACGGCTTTCGGGGATCCAATGATTCGCAGAATGATTTCCAGCGTTCCTGTTCAAGTTTGTCTAAACGACGTTGGACTTTTTTCTGTATGCGTCGTGCCAGCCTCAAGTCGCATACTGATTTCGTCCGCCTGTATCTTCTTTCCGCCCTTCGGCGAAGCGCGCACAGTTTTCCAGTTCAACGTCAAAATCTGAGCGCTTGCCGGTGAACGGGAGGAGACAGGAAGCTTCCCTCATTGCCTCTTTGATGACATCCTCCAAGTTCTGGTCAGGGTCTTCACGGCATGAGTCGCTGAAATTGGCACCAATCGATTCTTCGTATTGTGGTCTTAGGAAAGGAGTTAGTAAGACCCCTTATTCGCATATAAGTTGGAATGTGGTCACTCCCATGCGTTTCGATGTCTGAAAACCAGTGCACTTGCGACCGGAAGTTTCTGGATACCAGAGTCAAATCGAGGCAACTGCTGTACGTAAGGCCCCGCAGGTATGTAGGACTGCCATCATTTAAAAAACATAGGTTATGCTTGGAAGCGAATGACACGAGGTTTCTTCCTTTAGCGTTGATCATCGAACTACCCCAGATTAAGTGATGTGCGTTGAAGTCTCCAGTTATAACCCACGGGCCCGTAGTTGTTGTCAGTATGTCTCGTAGTCGGTTTTGTTCAAATTGTCCGGATGGTGATATGTAGACACCAATGAGTGTGAATGACACTTTTTCCTTTTTAAAACGTAAGCAGACATATTGATTGTCATGTTGCGGTTGAACTGCATGATGCACATATCTAAAATCTGTGCGAATGTAAACAACAACCTTGCTGCGTTCTTCGCACGTTGAAGAAACGAAAGATTCATAC